TAAAAAACACAAGTAGTCTCATAAAAACAACCATGTTCTGTGTTGGAGGGAGATTTTATCTTGCAGAGGCAAAAAACATCGCTATTGCTTTCGTAACATGGGCTGTGATACTTCCAGAATGGTTTTGTTCTTCCTCAGATCCCTGATGTCTCATACACAACTGGTGTGGGGCAGGAGAGAAGGACATGGGGCAGATCCAGCAACACAAGGGACCTTACTCCCTTGCCTGAAAGATGAGAAGGGTCATGGTGCAAGGTCCAGAGGCAGCAGGTGTGCCTGGGCTGAATACAACATGATGAGGACAAAAGCACAGTGCCAATAGGAACAGGACTGCAAGGTACTACATCCCGTCCAGGGCATGTGGGAGAGGGGTGAAGGTGTGTCTGAAACAGGGCTTGGAGCAAAGCTACAGGCTTCCCTGCTGGGAAGCAGAATTATATGGGTGGATTTTAAATCGTTGCTATATAGAGAGCCTTACAGACATCCATGCTGGAGCAACAGGGGACACGTGTGACCTCCATACTTTGTAAGAAAAGAAATTTGTTTGAAAAGGAACGTATTCTTGAAAAGGGAAATATTCTTTACACGTTAATGACCAATATTCAAGATTAACGAAAGTATTCCATACCAGAATATAATGTTAAGAGACTCTACCATGAAACAAGTATACTTCAGAAAGTATCCCTTTGTTCTACCTTTTTTTTTGATACATCTGCTAGAAATAATGACTACAGAATCTCTTTCAACAAAAGGTCATTTATGTCAATGGACAGAATACAGAGGATCAGATCACCTGCGGTAATTGCAAATTAATGCTCTACTGCTAATGCATTAACTACACAATATTGATCTACAATTGAATCATACAGGCTACTGTGAAGTGATTTTTACTTTAATATTTTTATGCTTTTATTGCTTTTTCCATAATGCATTTTCTCTTTGCACTGGAATTTTCTATAATTGTCTCCATTTTTAATTTCCTACAGCGAGATGACTTTGAAAAATGTATGTCTCTTTCAAAGCCTTGCAAAAATCTAACAAACCATCAATGTGACATGGTAAATCACGTACATGATGCAAAAGATGCAAAAAAATCTGATATACATCTTATTTTGAAAAATTGGGGCTTTTAAAAAAGCTTACTTAAATTTAAAAAAAAAAACAACTTCAGCCTCACTGGAAGCCTATAGTAATGAACTGTGCCTCAGAAAGATGTAGCTAGGCATTTCTGGAGCTTTTGGTATGCAATGAGTGCAGGATTATCTCCATACATAAAGTTGTTATTTTTTTTTAATTTCATGCCTGTACTGAAAAGGGATGGTGGATTTGGGTATGTTACAAAAAAGTACAGTGCTATGGAATCAGCTGAAGAATGACTGAAATGTCTTAGCATTTTCAATGAAAAATTAAAAAACAAGTGGGGTCTTTTTGCAACTGTTTCAGAAGTCCGTAAAGTGGAAGAATGCTCTGTTAAATTGCTGGATAAAATTTTAATCCCAGCTACTACTGACTACAATGATCTAGTTTGTTTTTTATACCTGCTGCAAAACTTTCTTACACATGAACTTTTTGCCAGTAACGACACTAAGATGTTGCCCTCCATCTTCCAAAGGAGGTGATAGAACACCCTTTGAATACTGAAACTCTCCCCAAACCATTCCCTAATATACTTGCTTAATACCACTTGAGGTGGTTATAGCATATATCAAAATACGGCTTACCACCTGACTCCTGACTTGCATTCCTGTGTATGATGATTTCATAAATGGAAAAGAAATGTCCATGTTTTAAAAATAAAAGCAATTGGAAAAAATAATGGAGAACTGATTGTAGGTGAAATAGCTGCAGAGGAAAAACCTGATCTTGCTTTTAATGGAGGCACATTTATTATTCATAAACCTCTTCTCTAAGAGATATGCCACATAGCAATTAAATCAACTCACACAAAGCCTTCGTATTATCTTAGCCCATGAATGTCACCCTCTCATGGCAGAGAAGACACAGGACTCTTGTCTAGGCAAAACGAAGGGAAGCCCAATGGCCATGCAAGTGCTGCTCTCCCAGGCTTTCTAGCTGGGCTCCGTGGATGGATGAATACAGCCTGTGCTGCCTAGTGGTATTAGACTGCGTTTAATGCCGGATGAACTGACATTCCCTAGCTTTTTAAAATACTGCTAACGAGGAAACATCCACACACTATTCTGTGTAACAGGGCAGTGATAGCAATGGCAGTATCCACTCCCAGGTTTTGAGACCACTACTCATTTGGCACAGCTGAGTGCAGAGCTCACTCCAGCACCGCCAAAGCCTGGGCTGCTTGCTTTCTGCCTCTGGATCTGTCATAAGGTGTCCTTGCGGTTTTGGAAACATGAAGTAAGATCACAGAATGTGCAGTATTGTGTCAGTCCAAGTGTCTATTCAGCACCATCTCCAACAGTGTCCAAAGCAGATACTTAAGGTAAGGCTATGGGACACATATATAATTTCCCCAGTACAGTCCCAGCTTCTACCTACTTAACTCAGGGACTTGCTATGAATCTTAATATACTGAATCATTCAGTAGATCACTTTATTTGATGCTATCTCAAAATTCAATACTTGCTCTGTATTTTGATACTGAGAAAGAAGTAGTGAACTGTCAAAGCTGTTACGATAAGAAACAGAGGTTTTGACTGTTGAAGAAGGAACAACTTGGGTATTTGATACCAAGGACATGCAAGAAAGAGATTGGGATTCAGGGAAAAGTATATTAGCTGGCTATTCATATGACCTTATTATGAAGGAAGACAACGGCAACGATTCTCATAATCCTAATTAGGTTCCAAAGATAACCTATGAAGATGAGGCTGTCTTCTGTCTATCACAATGTATCTTGCCTGAGCAGCAAATACAAGTTTCAGTCTAGTCCCAGTCAAGTTTATTTCTTGTAAGACTGTCTATAGAGATTACTCGTTTCCCTCTCCCTTCCATTTGCCTTTCCCAAGATGAGGGAAAGACTTATGGCCTGTACTCACAAGTTTACTAAAGGCTTATTTTTAAATAAATGTAATTGAACTAATTCAGACCCTTACCTACACAGCAGCTTTAGAATCCATTTAACTTAGATTAGTTTAAATGACTTCCCTACTTCAGTGAAACAGAAATAAGCCACTCAAACTGAGGATAGGTTTGATCCACAGGCGTTTAAAATCCATTCTAAAGATGATTTAAGTTAAACTGGTGAAGCCTAAGGACAAGAAAAGAGTTTTTTCACCATCTGTGGGAAAAATCTGTTGAAAAGAGAAATTGTTCTGTAAAGGGCAGAAGACCACTATAGATCCAAGTCATTTCTGGAAGCCAGTTGCAGAGAACTTGATTATTACTAAAAAGAAAACAATAATTAATGTTTTGTAAATCCAATATTCTTTCTCTTGAGCACTGACTGGGATGTCTGCATTAAATTATATTTCAGAATTTCGCATTACCATTGGCAAACCAACAAAAAAGAAAAGAAGTAATAAAAAATAAACAGCTACACAGTCTACATAAAGGAAAAGTGCATAAATGACATTAAAACCCTTCATTTTTAGTCATCCAGAAACAGATGCAGCAGACGTAGAACAGAAAATCACTCCACTCTGTGTAGTTCAGATCATGTAACATTGTTACAGACAAAGCCATCAAAACTGCAGCTCTATTAGCAGTAACAAATGAAATGCATCTATAGCACTAAAAACATTCCCTTGCCAATCCTACTTTTTTGTAGACAAATGCTGCTATGTAATTTGTACCGATACTTAGTATTTATATGGAAGAAGCTCTGAGACCATTGTGTAAGAAAGGTAGATCTTGGGAAAAGAAGATAGGAATGGTATTAATAAATCCAAAGAACATAGTAAGTCTATAAAAAGGTAGTAACCGCCTACTTCAGCTCCCAGAGATGCTAACTTTGATATGCATTAAAAAACCCAACCAAACCATTCAGTTGGCCTATTTTTTTTTCTGAAACATAGCAAACAAATGACTAATCTCAGCAGTCACCATAGCTGTGCAGAAAGGATGGTCACACTGAATCTAATTTTAATGTCAGTGAGTTGTGGGAAAGAAACAACTCCAGTCATCCCATGGAGTGACACAAAGCCAATATCCACAGGATCCACAGCTGCCGTGGTCTATGATGGGAACTACAGATAAAGAGGATGAGTATCTACCAGAATGTAACAATATATAATGGAATAATATAACATAACCACCACCTGCTCCTTATCAGCCATTCTAACATATATGCTGCAATGGTGCCCTGACATGCCTAAGTAGAGCTAGTAAGGGGCTGATTTCCAGCCAATTTCCTGGTGCCCATAATAAGAGGCCACCAAGGCTTCCTTCCATGACAGGGACTAACTAACCATGCCAGTCTGGCCAGGACCTCAGAACAACCCATCAGGCAATGTAAACAGCCTCAGCTACTGCAAGCAGTCTGACACCTCACCCCAATGCAATGGGCTGCAATGCCAGCACCATATGCAGGAGGTATAGCTCTGCACCTCCTGTCCAGTAAACATGCTTAAAGGACACAGATGCCTGGATAAACTTTAAACTGGCTCCCAGTGGGACCAAAGTAGTGCTCTTTGAAATCCGTCTCCCCTTAAAAAGGCTCTTGTAGAAGACAAAATCCGAGAATAAAGGAAAATCAGATAGCTCAAGCTTAACTCTGTGTCAACCTTGTTTATATGACAATGGAGAGATGTTTAAAGTTTAAATCCTGTAGTTCTGAGAAAAAAGTGATAACACACTCATGGCTAGCCTTTTCCCAGAATGGTATTGTGACACCCAAAGTCTTCTTTTGGCAACTTCTCCTCCATCTGAAATGAACGTCTCTTAGCAAGAAGCATGAAGCTAAAACCACGAAAACTCCTTTCAATGGTATAAAACCCCCTCTATCCTAATGTTTGAAAGGAAGATACATTACAGTTTTAATTACAGTTATTTTAATTTTAATGTTTTAAAGAAAGAAAAGGTACCTGTAAAACAGAAGCCCCACTATGCAGAAACTGGAGCCCACTTTCAGCAGAATCGATGCCTCCAGTTGCTAAGATGGGAAATCCTGGGAGAGCACGGGCTATGGCAGACACTGCACGGAGGGCGATGGGCCTAATAGCATTTCCTACAGAAAACCAGAACATTTTGTTAGCAACATCAGAACACACCCTGATGTAATTTGCACATCCCTCATGGTAGGAACATCAGGAACTAACATCTAATTCTGAGATGCAGAGGTTATATTCATTTATAGATTGACACCATGTGGGTTTCTAGTGGTATCAATACTTGTAAAGTATTATGAATTTGGCTGAAATAAAGAAAATTGCAGAAACAAATTGCTTGAACATTTTAGCTGATGCTCAAAACAAAGACTAACAATGTCTGAGACAGAAAGCAATACTTTACCATACAGTACACTGTAGACAAAGAGATCTATGTTTCTACATAAAGAATCAGGTTGATTTTTTCAACATAGATGTTGTCCAAATAAGAGGGAACATCTCATTTATTTATGTCTGACTAAAAATTGTTTAAAAGCGCCATTTCACTGCACTTGACATTTCATATATTATTTAATATGTTTCCCCTTTGGATGTTTGTAGATTCGAATAATCCTTTAAGTAAGCCCCCTTTAACTACTAACACGATAGTCAGAAGCTCAAAAGAATAAAGTCTATTCATTTAAGGTTGTATCTCCAAGACTGGAGCTTGCATTTTCAAATGGTATATAGAGGTTGAGTCAGACAGTTCCCTGCTACATTTAGAGGAATTATGATTAAAGTCTCAATACACTGTGACTGCAATGCATCTGCTTTGGCTACATCCTATTGATGGCACGCAAGTATTTAAAATATGCATGCAGATGCTGCTCATTAAATGATGGATAGCATAGACAGCTGACACTTTCACTTATTTATTTTTTAGGCTAGTTGGGATTTCTTTAGATAACTCCCATATTCTTAAAATTTCTACTTAATTCAGAGAACCTTTAGGATAATTTTATGTTATCATTGGACAACAATACAGTAGTGTAAGGGAGGGACACATCGCTCCCAGAGGAACTGGCTGGCTGTCAACTTACTCAAGGAAGTGCTAGTACTTTTTTTTTTTTTTTTTTTTACTCTATTAGGCAACTTGGGGAAATACCATGACATTAAATACTTCTGAACACCCTCCATGGGTATTTTTATAACCTTTAAAGCTTTGACCTTCTGCAAGAGCAAATAACCAAAAGGGAAGAAAGAAAGAAAACCAATGCAATGAACAAAGCAAGAGGAAGAAGAAACCACAATTAGGAAGTGTGGGAAAAGAACCCATGTAGAAACAGTAGCCACTGCATTGCCACACCTCTGCTTAGATGCCTGACCAACATCCTCATCTCCTTCAGACAAAACTTCTTCTTCAACCCAAACAAGCTGTGTTGCTATTCTTTCTCTACCCTTTCTGAGACAGAAATATTGCAGTCTGCTGGCTGGGTTTTTAATCTAAGAAAGTCTTTAGTAAAGGATAAGTTGCTTTTTTCAAGCAGCCCTCTCTCACTGAGCGCAGCACCTACCTTCCCTCCAGTGTCCCCGTCAGTCCTTCCTCTCAGGCAGAGTTTTACTGGTCTCCATGAAGGACCTACTGTCAGCTCAGGATTCTGCTCTCTAGAAAGAGCCTCTCCCTTGCTTGTGCATCAGCTAAGACCTCCGTGGTCTAGCTGGAAGGGTCAATAAGGAGAATGATCCCACACAGATACAGGTCACAAAACCTGTTATGTTTTGCTTTAAATAGTACAGCTGTGCTGTCACTTTGTCAAGGAGCTGTTTTTTCAAGGTAATTTTCCATTACAGAAAACTGAAATTTGGTTTGTCTTAATCATTAAAAATACTCTGTCTTCAGCTCACATTGCCTTTTGCAACATACCACTGCCCCTCACTGTAACACTGAATTCACAGGAGACCCTGGCCCATCAGTATTAAACACATTCACACCCAAAAGTTCAGCTAAGCAGTCTCTATTGACACCTGCTCTGGATTCAGCACAAAATTATCTTCTTGGGCAATGACAACTTCTGCTGCCTCAGCATAGACACCTTCTCATTATATACGTAATACCACACCTCCTCCTTCTTCAACAGCTGATCTCTGCACCCAAGCAAAAACCAGAGGACTCACTATCTGATCAGACAGACTCTTCCATCTGCCATCAAAACACACTGGATGGTCTTCCATGCCCGTATTAGGGATCAGGACTGCTCACAGGCTTTACACAGGTACTTTCTGCTAGTTTAACAGAGACTACATAGAAATACAATGTTTTCAGCATATAAACTTTCATTTGCATAAATGGACAGCCTAACCCAAGATGCACTATCAGTGTGTTTTGGTGAAAACTAGAGCCTGGTTCATAAAAATCAGAAATCTCATCAAAACTGCCCTAAAGAATCTAAGAGCACACCAGAACAGATCACAGAAAGGAGCTGGAGCTGAACAGGAATTTTCCACAGGACACTAATGACTATTTGCCATCATTTGAGCTAGATCGATTGTAAAGCGTTTGAAAGAAACAGAATGATCCTCTGAAAGAGGATGACTGCTAGTGTCCAAAGAGCAAATATTACGACAGAATTGATGGTCCAGTCTTAGAGAAAGACTTGAGCCAAAAAAAATGCAACCATGCTGTTTGCTCTCATGGATTTATTTATAAAGCCTTTTGGAGGGCATACATGCCAAGACATACATTACACAGCCAAGACCATTGAAAATAATCTCATCGAAAAACACTAGTTCACAAAATTCTTCAAATATTCAGTGTTTGAAATTGAGGCTACAGGTAAGCATCAGACTTGCTATATTGCTTTCAGGCACTGACACAGCTGCTCCAGAGTCTCACTGTGATGAGGTAGTTATTTTTTAGAAAGGTGAAAGAATACAGACACTGGTAACTATGAAATCATGTGGCTAGAGGGAAATTTCTTCCCAATCTGCATGAGTTAAAAACTGACATCTGCCTTGAGGCATGAAGGTTTATATTCTTTTAACCCCAGTGTAACTCTGAGAGTTCGCATTCAATCAGTTTTTAAGCCTTATAGACCCTTGACCTTAATGATACCTCGTAGCAAAGAGTTCCGCAAGAAAATATTTCCAGAATATAATTGTTGCTTTCTTCAGTCTGATTAAATTAGCCACCTTCTCACTTAAATGACTGTCTCTGTACAATGGTCAGTAGCGGAAAAGGAGCAAATGACAGTTTATTTAAGGTTTCAACACAATAGGTAATCATTCAGCCCAAAGAAATCAAGCACACGATTTGATGAAGCCTAGCAGAGATGGCAGTGAGACTTAGAATTTATTATGGAACATAGGTACTTTTTAGTACTAGCTGCACTTGATATTCATAATATGAGTTACTACTTACATTTGGTGATTAGTAAATTAGTGATAAATTGGTATGATCACAAAAGTATTCCATTCATCTGTAATTCACCCAAATTAATTTAAAAACATTTAAGGAGTGCTTCTGATGAGAGTAAATAAATGGCTTTAATGACAATCAGAGGGTTGACTGAGGTGTCACTATTCATCCCAGCATTTTTTTCTTTAGTCTACAGAATACGGAACAAGCACATCAGAAGGTGCGGCCGTTCTCCCATGCATTTCTTGATCAACAGTTCAGAAGCTTCCCCTTCTGTAATAAAAGCTGCTGGTCTGAAATACAACGTGATTTACTTGTGATAGAGATCCTACTGCCTAATGAAATGGTGAAGCAACCTTCCAGATTAAAGCCAAAAAAAAAAGAAAGAATACAAACAATAGTGATGCCAAGCTATTAAAAAAAAAGGCAAATAATTAAAAAAAAAAGCAAATGAGCACTGAATTTGACCTAGAGTCTCTATTTTCTTGCATTTTCATATGAGTACCATAGGAAGGTTATAAATTCCATTACAGAGGTTTGTAGAGAAGGAGTTTTTAAGAGGTTGAAATAAAGGAGATTTAACACCAAATTTTAAAAGAGCTGTAAGTAGTAGTGGGAATTTGCAAAATGTTGTCTGATAAATCCAATGGTATTTAAGAAGCTGAGGTCCAAATCCAGCATGCATTTGAAAGACAGCTCACATGCTAAAAAATAAGCATCTACCACATGCTTTGACATGTTGGGCCCTGTAATTCCACTAGTTAAGCACCCGTAGCTGGGGAAACTGCTGATATGGTACTTTCTTCATAGCAGCATTACAGCTGCTACCAGATGCTAGATGTGGCTATCATTTACCTTGCTGTAAAATAATGATATTTAATAAACAAAGTCCATTTATCCAGACCTCAAGCAGGGGAGTGAGATTTGAAAATGAAAGACAGGCAGAAAAATACCTGGTGGAGATGACATGCTACTCTATGTTGAAAACTACTCTTTCAAGTCTCTCATTAATTATGGAACAAATATTTGCTATTATATAAAGATTTAAACAATGAAACAATTATATGACGTAAAAGTCCCTGACCTTTTTCTTGCCTTAAAACAAGTAGTTTTCATTTTCTTTTTTTTTTCCTTTTTTTTTTTTTTTAATAAAAAGTCAGATTTTTTGTGACTTTCAGGGACTACAGTCAAGGAAATCCAATAGGCAAATACAACATGAAGGAGAAGCAGAACATATGTCAATCAAATGCCTCTCCCTGATCAGTGCAGCTAGGCAGAGCTGCCCTTGTCCTCTGAGGATAGCAGACTGATGACAAACTGATGAGAGGTATTATACCTACTTATTTGTTTGATTGTTTATTTTTTCTTAGGAAGTAAAAAACCCTTTACCAATGCCAGAAGACATATTTTATTACGACTTCACAAGTCCTTGGAGTTCCCAGAGGACTCAATCCTACCAAGCACCAAAAATGTTCACTAGATCGAGATTTGAGAGCCAAACTTAATGCCTTCTTCAAGGAGAAGCCTGGCATTAAGCTTCAAGCAACCCAGTAGCTTTGAAAGTTCGTAGCAGAAACAATTCAGATCTTCTTGATCCCAGTGATCCACCAATGGGGAAAAAACCCAGTCTTGAATACTGGGCTACATTCTCACTTGCAATATATTGCACCAGCATGGTAGTTTAAAGTCTTTAACACATATTTGCAGCAGCTCTAAATGGGCCTT